GTGTCTGGCACTTAACAGAGGATTGATATCTTTTGACAACTATACCACATTTTGAAGGCTTAAAATATTTTCAAAACACAAAATTACACATTTTGGATGCATTTAATGAAAACTATGTTCTAAGAAAGCCCTATCATTTTCAGACATGCAGTCATGTGCCTACCATTTGATGCTGGTCTCTGAGAGAAAAGAAATGGGTATTTTATGTCCTATCTGCAAATTTTCAGAAGAAAATTTAAACTGGAGAGGCTTTTAGTTGTCAGGGGAAGACTAATTGGCCTAGGCTTCAGTATTAGATACAGGTTTTGAATTCATAGAAGGCGGGGGCCATTGTGGGTAAAAAGAAAGAGTCCAGAATTAGGACAGAATGTCAGAGAACAGTCTAGAACAATGTTTTTCAAATATATTTAATGAAGGACCACATTTAATATTTTATGTTTATAATGTATCTTAGAGAATTTGCAAAATATAATAAGTTAATAGACAATATAAAATTAAAATATGTGTATTAAAGACCAAAATCCATGGCCATAAGAAAGAAAAGTTGCAAATACCAATTTAAAATTTACCGTTCAAAAGAGGGAGAGAATCTCTCTTCCACTTTGTTATTTCAAACAATACATCAATAAAATTATGAGTGATGATTTTCCATGTTGAATCCCTTCTTAAATACTTTGATGAAGGTGTGATTGGAAAGTACAGTGAAAGCTTAAATTTTTAAAAAATTACAGTAAAATACACATTGTGATTAATGTCTCAAAATATTCCCCTTCTCTTCAAACACACTTATCCCATAGTTTGGCCATTTTCTGAAGCAATCCTGGAAGCCTTCTTTCATGATTGTGTTTTGTTGCACTGTTGCAGCTGCATCAATGTCCTGAATCAATTCAAAATGCTTACATTTTATAGTCATTTTGACTTTAGGGAAGAGCTGGAGGTTGCACAATGCCAGTAAATAAGGTGGATGAAGTTACACTCTAATGTTTACAAGTCTGCCTTTCCATTGGATGGCATTCAGCAGCAGCATTCACTGTATTTTTTTTTTTATCATAACTCCTAAAAAGAAAGAGGACTTCCCTGACTCCTTCAAAAAGTGGTCAGAATAATGAGATCAGTGTGCTCAAACCAAAGGAGATCGATGGCAATGTGCCTTTTATTGCACTAGTTTATTTCTTAAATTGAAACATTCATTGTATATATTGATCACTCTTTCTTTCTATTAATATTTAAAGAATTTAATGTGATTGCTTCTTGCTTTATTAATTTGTCAAACCTAGGTGAAATGGACAAAAGCAGTACTTTTATGGGCCAATGTGTTTAAATGATGTTTACGTTTTTCCTTTAACAACATGGGTGGAGAGGCCAGTCTCAGTTTGTGAACAGAGTGAAAGACAAAAGTTACAGTGTTTTTAAACAATGTTACAAGGCTTATTTTTAACTTTTATGGAATAACATAAGTTATATCGATTTGCAAATTTCATCTTTGATCCCTTATGAGAAGCAATTCCAACAATTTATCTTATAAAGTTGTCACTATATTTAAATTATTTTATGATTAAAGAAAAGAATATTAGATTCAAAGATATGAGGCTTCTATTCTTTTGGAAAACACAGAAGTTTCTATAAAATTCTTAGGTTGCCAAATATGTAATATTTCCTTCCCCTATCTCCTCCACCGCAGAACTTTTGATTCTTAACATACCCTAATAATTGTTATGATAAGCTTCCATATTATCATACAATAATTATTTCAACTTAAATGTTTTAGCCCTTCTGTGACTAATAAATGCTGCTGTAAATAAATGTATTTTTTTCCACAGCAAATCCTCCCTGAAGGAAGTAGTATATTGATATATTCTGGCATGAGCTCACTTTCAATGTGCACAATAACTTCAAAAGCTTTCTGAGGGCAGGGATTTAGCTTAGTGGTTCCGCCTCCTGCCTCTCAAATGCAAGGTCCCAAGTTCGATCCCCAGTACCAAAACAAAAGAGCTTTCTGATACACTGCTGCAGGCTCAAAATATACTCTTAGAAAACCTGAAGTTCTATCCCACATTTTAAAAGTACATAATCTTTAATATTTTTAAGTTTGAGTTGTGTTTTCAGCATTGAAACCAAAAGAAAATTTCTTCCTCCTCTCCACTGCTATGATAAAATCATGCATATATTTAAGGAACCGTCATGTTAGTCACATATGAGCATTTGCAAGGTAATTTTAGAGCTCTGTCCTCTGAGATGGTTCTTCCTATCATTAGTCTGTTCTGGAATATGTCTGGAATACACCGAAGGCAAAAGGAATTCCTTAATTCTTTGGTGTTCTGGAAAAGTGGCTTGCTGAAAAGAACATCTCTTCTCTGACTTACACAAGAATCATGGACACCTCCCCCCACCCCCTTTTTAACCTAACAGACCAGCATCTCATATTCTTATTCTTTATCTCATGCTTGTCTATACTCCTGCTAATGTGACTGGATCAAACTCTAGGTAAACTTTTCCCCTCTCCTCAGGACCCTGAGCTTCTACCTACTTTAATCTGAGCCATCGTCAAAATGCGGAGCAACCTTCCAAATATCTGCTGACCAAGAGCCAAGCAATTATCCTGATCAACTGCAGTTACACCATCTGCTCATCCCACCTGTCATACGTGATTCTTTCCAGCCTGTTCTCTCCTCCTAAAATAGATACATAGATAAGAATAACAACAACAGTAATAGATGATAGATAGATAATAGATAAGTATATAAGTGATTAATAGATGATAGATGATTAAAACAAAGAAGGAAAGAAAAAAGAAAGAAAAATGAAAGAAAAAAAGAAAGAAAGAAAAGAAAGAAAGAAAGAAAGAAAGAAAGAAAGAAAGAAAGAAAGAAAGAAAGAAAGAAAGAAAAAGAATAATAGGTTCTTTTCTGCCTGACCTCTGAGACTCTTGCAGATTTTGTGGTCAGAAGTCCACCACTGTAGTAAAATCCTTCATCCTTTTGTGATTAATAAATGGTATCCTTTTGTCCCTGTTCTCCTATTACTATTATTCTTTAAATAAAGCTTCTGTTTATTTAAATTCTTATTGGTATTTTCTCTACCACTCTGCAAATTTTAGAAAAAATTATTTTTTCTTGAAAAAGTAGTTCAGGGAAGAATCTTTCATCATCCATAAACTAAGACTGAAAATAAATAATTCAAATATTACTTCTTTATTTTTATTTAATACTATTAAATTATAAATTTAAAACCAGGTTTAAGTAAAATGTAATGTAGAAATAACAAGTATTAAAGATGAAAATTTTCTCTGACATATCTTTTTGAGTTATACTTCATAGTCTGTCTTTAATATATTACATGTTACAGTGTGATCTTATTGTACGTAAGTGTCATTCCATAAGATGAGCACAAAAACTGTGCTAAGTCATTTAATGAGTCCACTGATCATGTGTCTAAATGAAGGAGCTTGCCAATTTACTCTTCTCAATTACTATGTTTCTTTCTTACCAGAACTAATGCAGGGCAGCCCTGCAGGCTCTGGGTGTACAGCATTCCCTATGAGTTCAAAGGCCCTGGGGTTTGGTTGTAAGGCAGCTTTTGGCACTAGAGGTAATTTTGATACCTACTGCAACAAGGGCTGAACGGGGACAAAGTGTTTCCTGTTGTTCAGTTGCTCTCCCACCCTGCTCCTTTCCATGTGTGTGGGTGGAGTCTTTAATAAGACAGGAAGTGAGTAGCTAGGATGGCAGTGTTCAAGATGGACATTAAAAGTATTCCCAGCCTCAATAATTGCTAAATGAAATTAGCCAAGGGCTTTATCCACTTTTAAAATAATTTTCTAAATTTCATTTTCTAAATTAATTGTGAAGGTAAGAGTAAAATGAATATGAACCCTGTATCTCTAAAGAGCAATACTGAACTGAGTCCTAAGCCACTCTGTGTCAGATTCATTTCAGTAACTTTTTTGCATGTTTTCTTATGGTGTTTAGTGGAGCTTTTGCTTGATATTGTTTCTTTTGTAAATATAAACTGTGAAAAAATTTTTTTAAATATCAAAGATTAAGAATTTGCTACACAGTTGAAGAAATTCTGATATATAGTGATCAGCATTAAACATTTGGTTATTTAATTCCTGAAAGATGGGTTCAAGAAGTTTAATATTTTGAAGATACATATATGGGACATATATGTGTGTATATATATGTATGTGTATATATATATATGTAATTAGGTAATTTTCTTTAGAATACATATGGCTAATATATCCTACAGAAAATTACCTAAAATATGTAAATATTCTTTTGGGACAACATCAGTGTGTAGATGGAGTGTATTAACAGGAATTTCTAAATATCATGCAGACGCCTTATCCCAGGATAGAGAGAACAGACATGAACTTGACAAAGCCAATTCTTGACTCACTGTCCCCTTTTTCATTTAAATGACAGATTTAGTGGCCATAATGGGCCTTAGTTAACTTTTTTACTACTTCTTGATACTTTGAAGTCAGCAAGCAGATTAATGCCCACAAAATAGTCACTGTGAATGAAGTAGGATAAAAATTAGTGTTAAAGTTCACTTACACAGCCTCACACCACCAAACTTTTCCTTCCTCAGAACCTCCATTCAAAGCCACAGCACAGAACAAATGGCAGCCACATGAAAAAATCTCTTATCTGGATCATGAGCTCTTTATTTACAAGAAGAATAAGTCATCCCTTATTATTCCCTCATATCTGGACTATACATAAGCCAAGAGTCTCTTCATAGTTTGCACATCACTGATTTCATTCAACTGTTAAGCAAAACATACACAGGCACCTCCAACATACTAACTCTTCCTTCTTTAATACATTATTAACATTGTACATCATCCTAAAATATTGTTAGATAAAAAATTTTTGACAACAGCTTCTGCTTTCTCTTTGAATATATTTATTATTAATATTCCAATTGCATTTATATTTTTACAGCTGTTTTGACACATAGAATGGAGCTATAAATGCTTCTCTTACTTTTGGTCTTTTCTATAACTTTAGCATAAAAATTTATGACCAGCACTAAAACCACCAGACCATCAGAACTTCACATTACCTATGTTCCCCTCGGTCCAAATACATGAGCTCTGTATCCCACACCAAAAGATGATGAGTCAGTCATGGAGAATAAGCCATCTGGGAGAGGAGAAAGGTAAAGCAGAATTCTCTAGGTTATGGAACATTTCTACTGCAACTGGGTATTCAAATCAAAAGGCTGAAAGTCAACCTGTTTGTAGACCTTACAGGGAGGAGTAACTCCAAAATGCTCAGTCTCTAGCCAGGATTTGCATTCTCTGGTTCAAAAAGTGACAGTACTTTCTTCTAATTCCTAAATATTGGGGACTTTTGAGACCTCCCTTTCCTGGCCTCTGCTCTCCCTCCTCTGTCATCTCTTTCCTTTCTTTCATGTCTCTTAACGTTTCTTCCCTTCCATCTTTTCCCTTTTTGATTGATTTTGGACTCTTTCTACATAATTTTGAAATGGGTGTTTCTCCCTTACTCATGTAGTTCAAGGAAGGGGATAATTCACATCGTACAAGCCAGAGACTTCATAAGGAAGCAGAGTGAGCATATTGATTAATCCTTCAAGAAATAGTCCTGCCAGACATGTACGCCCCTGTTTGGCAAGGCTTTATAACTCAAAATGAACTGGGGATTATTGGTAAATGAATCTTCAGTCAAATATAATTCCATTTTTTAGATATTCATAAGTGTACTTCTTACTTGCAATTTTTTTCCTGCTGCATATGTGAAATCGTGACACTTGTAGATTTATGTGTCCCGGCATATACAGATTTGCATTCCATATTCACCAGCAGAGATGAGTTCACGCTTTGTTTATGATGTTATTTAGGGTTGTACTGTTTATGCTACTTTTTTCACCACTTTTTTATGGTTCAGTGAACCACATTTTAATCAGGGGTCTATTTTGCAGAATTGGAGAATGATGTAGCACAAGCGTAAAAACAAAATTATAAATTTAATATTGTTAGCCATAGCATGAAAACGGGATGAAAATATATTAGGTGAGACAAACTGTATCCTATTAGCTAAATATTTGCAACAAACAAACCAAGGGGCTCCTTAAAAGGACATGTGGAACTTGAGAGGACATAATAATCATTAATTGTACTAATAATGGGATTTCTATGCAAATAAAATTAATCTTACATTTCTGATTTGTTTAAGCCTGTAAACAAAATGGTTTCATGTTTTTTTGGTGTTTTTTTTTTTAATTCGAATAGACAGCTTCCAACATGGTCAAAAAGCATACTTTAATATTGCTCTGGCTGTCAAAGTATTATGTTTCTTCTCCCATATTTATGTCCCTAGATTCATTAGTCATTTCTCTTTTTTTGTGTCATTCCTCCAAGATAGTACATTTGTATACACACACACACACACACACACACACACACACAAAGAAATAAATTAGAAGGAACCCTGTGCCTTGGCCTATTATCAAATCTAAACCAATTAATAAAGAGCACAGGAGCATAAGAAACTTATCTAGACCTTAGAGCACTTACCTCTAAGAAAGGAGATAAATCCCATCAGGGACTTTCACCTGGCCAATGCTCACATGGACTCTACAGAGCATGCAGCAACTGAATCCTGAGTCAGGAGGGATCCTGTGTTATCTTAAGAGCACAAAGAAACTGAAAGTACCATGATACAGAAAAAAATTAAAATTAAAAAATAAATAAATAAAGTACTGCTCATTTCAACAGTAATGATACTGCATATCAATTTAGGGTACAACATTCTGGAAAAATCCCAAATTCAACTCTCTGACACATACTCAACCTTATAATGAACAGCCATATGTAATTGTGAATAAAAATTTTGATGGATTTTCTAAAAGTATATATTAACTTTAGATACTTCTTTCTTATAAAATATAAATGCTGATACTTTTCTGGCTTAAAAATGGATTATAGATTAAATAGAAAAATGTTTGTGAAATTAATTTGAAACTTGAAAGTAGTTGCATAAATAAAAACTTTGATACAATACATGTTCAAATAAATAAATAGTAGGTAATAGCTGAAAATAAAAATGATTACCCAAATAATTCCATAATTTATTATTTCTTAGAATAAGCTTAACTACTGACAAGTTTTTAAAATAACACTGCCATATAACTATATATAGATTTTTACGTAACTGTGTATGACTACAGTGGTATAGCTACACACAGATTGAATCAGTATATATTGGAAACAGTAACAAAGACTCCATTCTGCAGAGCAATGCTTAGTTCTGGTTCTCTGTCCTAACTGTGAGAAAGAGCATTAATGTACATGCTATTTAAATGTTCACTGCACTAAAATTTATAGAAGGCAGAAGGAAGGGCAGTATTTACTGAACCCTGAGCATTTTGTTTTCTATTTCATCATTAATCCTGAATTTGATATTGAGTAAGATCCCTTACTTTATCTACTGGAATTTATGTGAGAATCCATTACTAATCTTGAAACTGAATAGTAGAAAGCAGTCAAGGTGTCATAAGAGTTGCCTTTCCAGCAGGCGTGGTGAAGGGAGCCTTTCTGCATCTGAAAAGTGAGCAGTGTTCTTGAGCTCTTCGACCCAACAGTGCACAGTCCCTCATGGAAGCTCACTTTCCACTCTTAACCAAGAATATTTCCTGAAGATGTGATCGCAAGAAGGAGAGGGCCTCCCCGTGACTGTTTCAGCATATCCTAAGATGAAAGGCCATGGATAAGTTTGGTTTCATCCATTTGAACCTGCAGGGGAACATGAACTTGCTAGCACCTCTTTTAGATGAACAGAATTAAGAATTTTCATGTCTACTATGATGTTAAAATGATGTAATCTGTTTTAGAATTCAGCTATTATAACAACTATATTTCCCATATCCGAGAACCACATTTAAAACCTCCCTGGCCATTATTTTGAAAGCCTAGAGAATTTCTAAGGCAATCGGTCTGAAGAATAGATGATCTGAAAAGGTAGAATTACTTAATTAAAAAATAGTATCAAAGAAAAAAGGGAGGGACAAGTAAAAAGTTTAGAATTTCTGATGAATACTCTCCTATATATGTATATATATATATAATTTTAATATATAAAATATATAAAATTTCTTTGAATGATTTACTTGGAGCAGCTTTAAACGGTTCTATTAAGACCACTATTAGATGTGTCCGCAGCTACAATTGCTTTTGACATTCAATACTTAGCTGAAAACGTCAAAGTCCTTCATCAGCATTCTTTACAATATACAAGAAGGATATAAGGAGATGATGACATTGAGCTGCATGTGGGCAAAGTCACACTGGAGGTCAGCTGAGGGTAGACTGGGCAGTCGCTCCTATGGACATGTTGTAGATCCAGAAATGGTGGAGGATTTAAAACTGAGAAAAACTGTTCAAATATGTAAATATAATTACAAGAAAGAAAAAGGTCAAAGGTTAAAGAAAAAGACTTATGAACACATGGGAGACTAAAAGTTTGAGAAGACAAGCTATGGCTTTGCCTTGAATAAATTACTTGATTTCCTCAAACCAAATGTAATCTAAAAGGAGAGAACTGCATGAATTCTTCCAAAAAAAGATTCCTCCACACATCGCAAGCAGTATGGTAAGGAAAAAGATCATGGATTTTTAAGGTCACTATTGTCTGGATTTTAATCTGTATTTCACCACTTACTGGCCAGGTAAACAATAGCAAATTGCTTAACCTTCAAGCCTAAATCAAATCTTTAAAAAATAAGCATCTATCTTCAGGATTATGCTAGAAATAGTATAAAATAATGGAAATTAAGTGCTTGGCTGAGAACCCCACATGCGATGAAAATATTATTTCCTCTCTATCTAGTCTCCTCAAAATTTTTGGAGCTACATTACTTAAGATTATCTTTAGGCTTTTTAGCTAAGTGAATTGGGCTAGTAAATGTGTTTCTTAATGTGTAACATTAAGGTTCAAAGGTGTGCTTTGTTTTTCATTCTGCTTTTTGTTACAATAAAAATAAATAAATAATGGTAAGAGCAGAGTCACACCAAGAGCTGTAGTGTGCACTGGAAGGATGCACTATAGCTGTTTAGGAGGCTCACGGAATCCCAGCTGATCTGCACACAGCTTTGCTCATTCTTCAGAACAATACCAAGAGGGCTTTATTTCAAAAGTGAGAGAGCAGACAGACAACTTAGTAATTCAGCAAAGGTCACCTAACTGTTAAGTCACAGAGAAATGAGGTCAGTCCAAGTATGTCACCTACCATCACACAAGTGATTGTGAGGAACTGAAGGGATTTGTGAGAGGAAAGAACTATTTGATGGTGAAGCAAGAATCATGAAGAGAAGAGTGGAGATACGCTAAGAGATGCTGTAAGCAACTATTTAAGTGCCTTATTAGCATAATAAAATAAAGCTCACTATCCTGGTGAGAATAGATAATAAGTAAACAAATCACAAAGGGATAATTTTGAAATCAATGTGGTTGTTTATATTCATGTCTAACAGCATATTTTTTTCTATTTTTATGAAACAACAGGAAGAAAAGGAAGAAAAATTCATGATAATTCATCATAAATCCTAACACACTTCAGCCACAGATTAAAAGAACCACGCCAGTTGCTCTGACTCCAGACAGAGAGCAAAGAAATCCATGGTCCCCCAGGGTTCACAGAAGTCTGTCCATCACGCTGTCAGTCTTTCAGATCATTATTCAAGTTGCTATCCCCAATTTTGCTAGATACATCAGATTTACTCCTGCTCCCTAGGTAATTTTTCTCCCTGATGGGTTTGGAATTTGCTCATTTTTAAAATTATTTTTGGAAAAATGTGCTGCTTAGAACTTCTGAGAACTACAGTAAGAATGTCAATCGCACTACTTGTGTGTTTGTGTATGCACACATTTGAATATATATATATATATATATTTCATTGACAACTTTCTTCCTTTTATTATGCAAGGAATTTAAAGTTTTATACAGTTAGAGCTAGTTAATTGCAAATGTAATACTCTCTTGTATTTCTATTTATATAGTTATATGTTCATCTATTTCAAAGAAAAAAATTTTTTTTTTTTTTTGTTACTCAGGACCTTGCACTTGTGAGGCAGCCATGGTGCCACTGATCTAAGATCTTTTGGGGCACAGAAAAATATGTCTACATGGCTCTAAGTTGATGTAGAAGTTTGACAGCTATCTGAGCATTTGATCAATGAAGACCAACAAACTGAAAACTTGAAACAATTTCCAAAAGGCAACCAACAAAAACAGGTATATACAGTATATTGAATAATGCAAGGCTGGCTTTTCTGTGTATTTACAAAGGAAGTTTAATATTTTATTCAACAAAACTATTATGCAGATATGTAAGATAGTATATTTATCATGGATACACATAAAAAGACTCATTCCCTGCTTTTAGGCAAAAAATAAATAAAAATAAATTTTAGAAGGACGAAGTGAAGAAGTGTAATGGTGAAGGGCATGCATAGCCACATAAAATATGGAAATTCCAGACTACAAGTTTTAGAATGACTTTCTGAAAAAAAGGAATTAAATATCATAGTAAGAATTAATACATAAAGTGAGAGAGTAGAGCACTGTAGACAGAGCTGTCATTGATGAAAAAGAACACATATTTGGAGAGGTCCATAAGCAATTAATATTTCCCACTACGATTTATTTTCATGGAAGACAGGAATTTCCATTGTTTTTTGTTTACTGATCATTTCTAGTGCCTAGAGTACTGCCTGATACATACAAACTGGCGATTGAATGAATGGCTTTATGATTAGATAAAGTTCAAATTAGAAAATGATGAGATTGTAATACGGCCAGATCCCAAGAGTCTTTAAGTGTCCCTTAGTTACACCAGTGCTGCTTTTTCTCCATGAGTCCTTTCCCAGCTGTGGGAGACTTGGTGATAGCACAGTGCCCCTCCGTACCCCTTCTGTTCATACTTCCCCCTAGATTTGTCTTTGCAGTGTGGGATTTTTGATGCAGTTTGCCAACATAACCTCTCCTGTAGCCCTTTGTATTGGGATGTATCTGTGATGATAGCAATTTAGCTTTTTTATGGGAGAAAACCTTTCCAGGTGTGGTCTCTCCATTGGCCATGACGCCTTGGGAAGACCACCGCTTATGGTAATGGGAATTAGAAGCTTTAATTTCACATGTCAGGTCTGACATAGACCAGTCTTACAACCTTGAAATAATTCTCTTTAAAATGAGTAAATCACAGTTGTGAGTAAAAATTAATTAAAGTAATAAAAGAAAAGGAAGCTGTGTAAATTTCAAGACATGGCACAAAGCTAAGGAATTATTCATTTATTAAGCCCTACAAGTTCTTGAAACCAAGACATTAGGTAATATGAAAAGTTCATGTTATCATTGCTGCTGCTATAGAAAAATATTTCAGGGATGGACAAGCATTTTTAGATCACCTCACCTAGATTAAAGCTGACATAAAACTGAAACCACAAGAATGTCGATGATTATGATTTACTTTCAAACAACTCAATATCTTTTATCCTTAATCTCAGACCCAGAAGAGACAATGACCTTTAACTACTGTATAAATATTTTCCCCCTAATCCTTACAGTAACTAATTGTCATCATCCATACTTGATATATGAAACTTGAAGATTTCAAATACATTCTATCTCTGGCTCCATAATCTTTGGGCTTTGTAGCATATACTGATACTTTTCTCCCTGACTTTGCTTAGTTAATAAATCTGAGAAAAAATTATTAAAATATTGTCTTCATTGTAATACTAATAACTACATAATAACTGCTCTCTTTTTTCTTTTCATCTTCACTAAAATAGAACAATATTTCCTCTATGGGAAAGAGGATAATTTGTATGCAGGTTATGCTTAATTCATTATATCATACTATTAATTTGTATGTTTCACACTATTTGTCTCTCATACCTTATTTTTTTTTCATTTTTTGCTATTCTTTTACTTTTTTATTCCCCATTAAGTTTATTGGTACATTTTATGTGTATAATACAGTTACCTTCATCACTGGGATCTTGTACCATTACACGAGTATCTTGGTTCTTATTTTTTCCCCCTTCCCTTGCCCTCCATTCACCCCCTCCACCCTTCCCTATTTGCAAAGACTTTGTTTCCATTTTTTTCCTTTTCTCATATTTTTTCTTTTCCCTTTTTTCCTTTCCCCTACCCCTCCCACTTCCCTTGCTCCTTTAGACATTTTCTTCCTATTACACAATATCAATTATACATTTTAAAAATTACAATATCAAGATCTAGGAGACATTACCACAGATTTTACAGAATTTAAAAGGATATAGAAAGCATATTACAAAAATCTTTCCTGAAATAAATTTGACAACTTCTAAGAAGTACCTTGGAAGACAAATTAATGAAATTAACTCTGGAGGAAATATAAAATTTGAATACTTTCTTTAATAGGTGCTGTTCAAATCTTTTACTTTTTTGTTCATTTGTTTGGAACAGCATCTCTCTAAGCTGCCCAGGTTGGCCTTGAATCTGTGATTCCCCACCCTCACCCTCCTAGCTGGGGTTAGGGTTACTAGCATGTGCACCATGCTAGCCTCCTATTTTTCTCACCTTTACAGAAGAATTGAGCAACCTCAAACAATACAGCAACCACAGATCACAGTGGCATTTCTCCACGCACATCAGGCAACACTGCAGACACTACTCCAAAGTATCCCATTTAAGCATATTGCATATTTCTTTCATTTTCATTAGTATCATACTATTAATTTGCATGTCTTTCAAATTAGACACATGCAAATCAGATTGGATAAATGTACTGTCATTAAATAGCATAATTTTCTGGAGTGTGCTTATGGAGTGGTTTGGCAGAGTAGAAAGCAAGACTTAAGATCTCAATAACCTGAATTGTTGAGACATTGTCAGGAAAGAAGTCCAGTACTGCAGTTACCATGGTTTCTTCTTGAAATAGTCACAAATCCTCAAAATCATCTGGTTGAGTGATCATTATTCCTGTGAAATTTCATGAATTTCCCTGTGTATTTTGATATTAAATCTAGTATACTGTATTACATATATTTTATTATTCAAGAACATGGTGAGATCCAGTGTAATTACAAGTTATATTTTGTATCATATTCAGTGCTGTCCTGATAGATTTTCTTTTCTCCTCTAGATTAACAGTGCACATTCTTCCTATTTTTAAAGACAGCAAAGCAAAATACTGGTGAATACTATAAGGATGCACTGAAAAATCCATTGTTAACTATGTCAATAAAAAGAAAAGCAAATGTCTGAACTCTTTTTGTTAAGATTCAATTTCTCAGTGTGAGTTTTTTGCTTGTTTGTTTGGTACTGGGATCAAACTCAGGACCTTGTGCTTGCAAAGCAGGAAGCAGAATCACTGAGCTAAATCCCTGGCCCTTAGTGTGAGTTTTTGTAAGTTCCCTGCATTAGGGGTAAGCAAACATTCTTCATGTGACATTTTCAAATGGATTAAATATTTTCATTTAAATTTACATGTATTGAACAAGTTCTTGTGTTCCTGGTAATACCTTTTCTGACCTCTACAATATTGCAAGCTACTTCAGGAAATCAGTAAACTGATAAAGTCCACACAAAAGAACAAGAGGTATAATAGAGCTTTGCACAAAAAGTGAGGCATCTAGCCATCACTGTCCTCGTTTTCCTCCAAATCTTCTCCTTCTTTTGTTTTTGAGAGATAGTGGGGGCAGGGGTACATAAGAGAAAGAGGCCAAGGAAGGAATTCAGGATTGAATCCTTCATAGATAAGAACATAGAAAAATGTAGATTTCTAGAACTATTTTAAATAAAATAAATGTCACGACCCAAGGAAAGCAGTCAAATAAATACACACATTCTACTTTATTTTCTGCAGTAAATTGATTAGAAGTAAGTCACATTTCACAACATGAACAGCTTGAGTCGAGGATCATGGAACCACATTAAAAGTTTTTCAGCTTTCATCAATAGAAAAAATACGAGATCAGCTCCACCGTAACACTAGTAGGTCTCTGTCCAAACTTGTGAAAATTAAGATGTTGTACTGCCTTTCATAATGCTGAATCTCGTATCTACTAAATCACCTTTATCAGGAAAGTAATGAAAAACTTGCTCGGACAAAATGGTCAGTTTTCTCCAGAGACACGGAACTAATAGAGCGTATGCATATTCTACTAGTTTTGTAATGCATACATATTACTGATATGCACGTAGGCACTATATAGAGAGAGACTGACTTTTTAAGGAAAGTCATCAAATAATTGGTCAGGAAAGAAGTCCAGCTGAGGTAAGGAAGGGAAGACAGACTAGAGCCCCATAAAGAACCAATGCTGCAGTTGAAGTCCAAAGGCGGTGAGTCAGCAGGAATTCCCCTCCTCCTTGCTGTAAGGTTTGCCTTTTGTTCTAGTTAGGCTTTCAATTGACTGGATTTGGCCTGTCCTCATTATGAGGGGCAATTTCCTTTACCCAAAGTACACTGATTTCAAATTATATTATATTATATATATATATATATAACTTTATATAACACTTATTTATATAACAGTAAGTCCTATTTTTATAAATATTAATTCATAATACTCAGTGAAATAGATGGATTTATTATCAATTTTATTTCATTGACAAGGACATTAAAGCTTACACAGAATTTAAGCAATTTGTCTAATGTTATACCACCTTTGGATCATAAAGGCAAGATTTAAACACAATCTATTTACTTCCAGAGTCCAGTAAGACATCCTTCCTCTTGCCATGCTTCTGGAGTATGCTACAATTCCACAAAAGGCTACAATTTTGTTTTTAGCAAAGGAAGCCTTTTGATCTTTAAAAATGTTAATGTAATGATCATAATAGAATTTTGGACTATAACCTTTGTTAAATTTCCATTTCCTTCAGAAATCTGTGTGCTTCACTTCGTGGCTCACCAGGCCTTATCCTAATAAGTAAAACAGAGTAGGTCCTGTCATTAAACTACAAACTCCAGTGTCTTTACATCTAAATTTTCTGTCCACCTTAGAGTGCTTACCAGAGTGGCTAATACACACTTGGTGATAAGAAATATTTGTTAAATGGAGGAGCAAACGTATATCTTAAATCATTCAACAAAACTTTTGAGATTTAATAGACACATAGCAAGAAAATAGACTTTATTTGGCAGATCAAGTAATTTAGCTCAATATTCTCTCTGACATCAACTTTCAAAAACTGAAAAATAAAGATATGCATTTCTCTAAGAATTTGAAGAACAAGATAGTAAAGAATAACTGAGTCTAAAATCCAAAAAAGAGGTTGAAATTCCAAAAAGGTGTGTCAAATGAGATCACTTCTATTCAGGAACATGTAACCACCCAAAAGAGATGGCTGTGAAATTGGAGAAAAGATGGACTCTAATCTTGGCCAGTAGAGACAACATGGTGGCCTTAGACAATAAGCAATCATGTACAGTCATGTGCTGCATAAGAGAATGAACCAATAGGATATTAAAATAGCTAGAGGAGACAAAATTTATTAATAGAATTGGTTCATGGAATAATAGTGACAGAGAAGTTTCATGAAGGACCACTAGCAAACTGGAGACTCTTGAATGCAAGCAACATGGCTTCGCTTGTAGGTGATCTCTGCAAACACCCTCACAGAAACATTGAAAATAATGCTTTACCAGGTTTCCAGGCATTTGCTCTACCTAATATTATGCAACTAGCTTGTCAAAACTCAAAACACATGAATACCTACCTCAGAATTCAGTTTTGTACCCCTCTTACAGAGTTTCACACTCTCAATGAGATTATTCTCAAGATTTTGATTTTCAAAATTTCCACATTCAGGATTTTAATCTATCAAGATTATGCTTTTTAACTTTAGGGATTTTGATCTTCCTTCATTTCAGCATTTGATAGTGTAGCATTACACATTATGTTTTTCAGGATTATGATTGGCACCAAGGAAAAGTAATCCCAGATGGGACATAAAAGAATACATATTGAGAGATTCAAATTATCTAAATAAGAACATTTAAAAGAAAGGCAATGAACACCATAAAATCAGAATATTAGTAAATAATATTGGTTACTTCTATAGGGAAAGGAGTAGTGATGAATAAGAAGAGCCGAGCATGGAATTGCTGGTAGGCTGACAATACTGCAACTTTTTGTCATAAGGTTAATTCCAATTTATTAATCAGACAGTATTCCATGTGCAAGTGCATTATGTGCTTCAAAATAAATCACTAGCAGAACACATCAGATATAATATGATTAAAGTAACAGGTAATGTAGCCTTAACAAATGAAAAAAAAATCTTTTGGTAAGAGTAATTCACATATGTTCCCTATTAGACCAATAAAATGGCTAGAAATGCATCTCAAATACAAGTGTGAGCTTCATAATTCTGAAGCCAAAAAAGGAAATACAATCTGTGACAATATATGCATTGTCTGTAAGATAAGAATACACTGGTTCTTTAGTGGAAACAGATAAGATTTAGTGAACTTCCTATATATTGTCAATCTGTAAACAATGAGATGAAATATTTATGTAGCTATTAATTTAAACTACATGTTTACCTTCAGTGGAAGCTGAAAATATAACACAGTTGAAATCTCACAAACACTAACACAGAAGTTCATGACAAATTAGGAAGATACCAAAGAATTCAGTGAGGTTTCATAATAATAAAGAGAAGTCTAATGCTATAAAAGAGGTGGAGAGGGGTACGGATTGGAAAAACAGTTGTGTTGTATCATGTCCGTGTACCATCTCACCATAGAAAATGTGATCATTAGGTACTGCAAACAGGGACTCATAAAAATAACAATGGAGAAAAAAATTTAAATATGAAAGCATTTTGCTCTGTACTTTAAAAAAAGCCAATAGATTCTAGATAGGAAGCATCCAGAAAAATCCTAGTTAAAATTATAATGTAGAATGGTGATTCTCAAGTGCATGTATGTGTTAGAGACAGAGAGGGACTAAGGGATTGTGCATCATGGAGTGTGAAAAGAAACATGTGGAGTGTGTATTGAAACATATGGATAAAAACATGGATGAGTGGTAATAGTTATATTCCTGATGTAGGAGTTTTCCAAAGTATGAAAAAGTAAATGTAATATATATGTTTTATTTTCCAAAAAAGTAAAGTTTTTGGAAAGAAAGATTGACAAAATATTTTTAGCCAGTAGGAGCATACAGAAGTAATACACATTTATTGTGGGATATATCCAGGCTATAAGGAAATATCAAATATTTTTAGAAGAAAAATATAATTATCATAATGATCCCTTTAAACCTTCCAAATGACTATGGCAATATACTGTATAAAATCCACAGTTGCTAATGAACCACTAGTAAGGTGGATCAAAAGCCTTTAAGCTCTAGCCCTGACCAACACTGAAGCCCGACACTGATGGCATTCTCCTTCTTTCTCTATATTCAATCTCTCTGGCCTTACTTCAATTCCTTAAATAGTTTCCTGCCCTGAATCTTCTGTATGGACTGTTCTCTCTGCTTGCAATATCTCCCAGGCTTCAGATGTTACTGGAAAATCCCTGTGAACGTCTAAGCTCTCCTTCACCTCTACCACCACCACTAATATCACCACTTCCACCTCCATCAGCCCAGCTCATGACTACTACATAATTTAGTATAATCATTTGTTCATTCAGCTTATCCCAAATTATAACTAACTACTATTGTGAGCTCTGTTAAGACAAGAAAATCTTCTGCTTATATTATACCTAATACTTAACACAAGACTTAAAATAAGAGCACAATGACTATTTGTTGAATGAATAAGCATTTGCAAGATCTTATTATGACAGAGGAAAGACAATTGGAAGAACACTGAAGATAATAGAGAATTATTCAAGCATATATAAATATGAATTCAAGCATATATAAATATGAGTTCAAGCATATATAAATAAAAAAGCAAAACAAAAGTACACACTTTGAAAGCAAAAACAAATCCTTGAACATAATTTAAGAAAAAAAATTGACTGTGGCAGCTGAATAATGTGAAAGATTTAAAAAGCAAAGATGGAAGCAAGGAATTTTAACATGGTAGACAGAATAAAGCTCTCTCAACAACGGACAGGCCCTAATCTCTAGAAGATGTGGAAACATTAACTTTCATAGAAAAATGTGCTTTGCAGATGTGATTAAATTATGGATCTCTACATAGGGAGATTGCCCTGATTTAACTGTGTGGGCATACTATAATTACAGGGATCTTATTAAGAAGGAGGCAAGCTCAGGGTCATAAGGAGATATATTA